TTGGGGCACTTTCAGCGCTGCCTGTGGTGGTGGTGTTTTCTATTAACTTCAATCATGGAACGTAGGATTACTGAGTCCCCTGCCCGGGAAATCACCTGCATTCTAGACATACTCTTCCTTAACTTCACTGTGTAGTCAGGATAACTTGTTAGTTAGGATTAATCACCCCTGCCAATACAATAAGCCCCTTCTTTACCTGTTAATTCCCTGGCATGAGGAGCCCGAGGTGGCCAAACGGCAGTCTCAACCTCAAGTTTAATGGACTCATTGTCATGCTCCTTGAGGCAAACATTCCTACTTTCGGGATTAACTCTACACCGGTGGTTCTCAAGTGAGGAAGATTTTGCTCCCCCAAGAGGACACTTGGTAATGTCTGGAGACATTTTGGGTTGCCACAACTGGGGAACAGCCGCTACTGACATCTAGCGGTAGAGGCCAGGGATGCTGCCAAGCTTCCTATAGTGCGCAAGACTGTTCCCAATTATCCAGGCCGAAATGACAATAATGTTGAGGTCGAAAAAGTCTGCTCTAAACCAGCAGAGCCCAAAGTTGTGGAGATAGGAAGCAAACATTATTCTAGGGCATCACTAGGAATAATACAGAGAGGATCTACTCCCACTTGCAAGCTTTGATTCCCAGATCCCATGTCTCCTGGCTATGGGGAGAAACAGCACCACGTATTGGTGATTGCTGATTTATAGCACATACTCATGAGGTATTATACCTAGCTCATACTGGAACTGAGTTATCACAGGCCATTTCACCATTTTAACATGCCAGCTGCTTTATTTTATTTTGGTAAAAGAAATATAAAATTTGCCATTTCAACCTTTTTTTTTTTTTTTGAGAGGGACTCTCACGCTGTCTCACTCTGTCGCCCAGGCTGGAGTGCAATGGCGCCATCTCGGCTCACTACCGCCTACTCACCTCCGCCTCTCAGGTTTAAGCGATTTTCCTGCCTCAGCCTCCCGAGTAGCTGGGATTACAAGCGCCTGCCACCCTGCCTGGCTAATTTTTGGATTGTTAGTAGAGACGAGGTTTCATCATGTTCGTCAGGCTGGTCTCGAACTCCTGACCTCAGATGATCCACCCACCTTGGCCTCCCAAAGTATTGGGATTACAGGAGTGAGCAACTGTAGCCATTTTTAAGTGTGTAATTCAGTGACATTAGTTACATTCACATTGTTGTGCAACCATCACCATTATGTATTTCCAAACTTTCCTATCACCTCAAACAGAAATTCTGTCACTTTTAAGCAACAATTCCCCATTTCACCCCCTCTCAGTCCCTGGTAACCTCTAATCTACTGTCTGTCTCTATACAATTCTCTATGCTACATATTTCGTATAAGTGGAATCATACAATATTTGTCCTTTTGTGCCTGACTTATTTAACTTAGCATACCATTTTCAAAGTTCAGCCAGGATACAAAATTCAGTTCTGACAGCACGTATCAGAGCATCATTCCTTTTTATGGATAAATAATATCCTATGTGTGTATCACGTTTTATTTATCCATTAATCAGTGGATGCACACTTGGTTTGTTTCTACCTTTTGGCTATTGTGAATAATGCTGCAATTAACATGAACGTACAAATATATGTTTCAGTCCCTGTTTTCAATTCTTTTGGGTATATACCTAGGAGTGGAATTGCTGGGTCATATGATAATTTTATGTTTAGGCCAGCTGCTTTATAATAATAGGGAATTTCATTTATCTATTGCTATACAGGATAGCAAATTAGCCTAAAACTTTGTGGTTAAAAAAAAACCATTGATCTTCTTTATTATTATTATTATTATTTTTGAGATGGAGTTTCACTCTTGTTGCCCATGGAGTGCAATGGCATGATCTAGGCTCACTGCAAACTCCGCCTCACAGGTTCAAGCGATTCTCCTGCCTCAGCCTCCCAAGTAGCTGGGACTACAGGCATGCGCCACCACGCCCAGCTAATTTTGTATTTCTAGTAGAGATGGGGTTTCACTGTGTTGGCCAGGCTGGTCTCAAACTCCTGACTTGAGGTGATCCACCTGCCTCAGCCTCCCAAAGTGCTGGGATTACAGGCGTGAGACGCCACAACTGGCCCAACATTGATCTTCTTATATCCTCTGTGGGTCATGAATCTGCGAGCTGCTTAGCTGGGTGGTTCTGTCCCACAGTTTCTCATGGGATTGCTGTCAAGATGTCTTCCGGCTTGCTTAGTGCTGGGAGATCTGTTTCCAAGGTACCTCACCCACATGGCTGGCTCTCCACAGGCACCTGAGTGATTCATGACATGGTGACTGACTTCCCTTCATGCAGATAATTCAAGAGAATAAGGCAGAAACTACAATGTCTTCTTATGACCTCACAAATCATGCATCATCACTTTTGCCACATTGTATTTGTTAGAAATAAATCAGTAAACCCTATTCACATTAAAGAAGAGGGGACTAAGTCTCCACCTTTTGCAGGGAGAAGTGTTAAGGAATTTTTGAACACATTTTAATATGACCACACCATCCACTGATTTTGTTTTTTGTTTTTTTGGTTTTTTTTAGACGGAGTCTCACTCTGTCGCCAGGCTGGAGTGCAGTGGCGTGATTTCGGCTCACTGCAACCTCCGCCTTCCAGGTTCAAGCGATTATCCTGCCTCAGACTCCCGAGTAGCTGGGACTACAGGTGCGCGCCATCCTGCCCAGCTAATTTTTGTATTTTTAGTAGAGACGGGGTTTCACCATGTTGGCAGGACGGTCTCTGTATCTTGACCTCGTGATCCACTGACATTGGCCTCCCAAAGTGCTGGGATTACAGGTGTGAGCCACTGCGCCCGGCCCCATCCACTGATTTTTTAAAATTTCGGGATTATATTTTTTATTTCTAGAAGGTCTACTTGGTTACTTCTCCCCAGTTCCTCTATGACATTTTTTATAGTTTCTTTTTTATTAGTTAGATATTACCATATAGTAAACTACTTAAAAACTTAGTGACTTAAAACAGGAACCATTTATTTAGCTCACAATTAATGTGGGTTAGTAATTTGGACTGGGATCATCTGAGAGTCTTCGGTTCTCTGCAGGACTTCATCATGTGTGTGCTCAGCTGTATGCTGCCTAGGCGGCTTTGCTTTTAGGGTTTTGCTAGCTGTTGACTGGGTGTTTTCGCTCTCCTCCATTTGCCTTATCTTCCACATGTCTCTCCCTTATCGTCAGCAGGGTAGCCTGAACTTACTGTCCCGAAGAAAGCAGGCATAGAAGAGAGAGCAGACACATACAAAGCCTCTTGGGGCCTTGGCTTGGTATTGGCAGGCCACTTCTGCATTCTACTAGCTAAAACAAGCTGTTCTATCAGGCAAAGTCAACTTAGATTAAAGAGGAGGTGAAATAGATCCTACCTCTTTGTGGGAGGAGCTGCAAAGTCACACCGCAAAGGACATGGATACAGGAAAAGTTGGAGAATTTGGGGCCATTTTTGGCATCAATCTAACACAAACATATGTAGCCTTTTATATAGTCTTTGTCTGAAAATGCTAGTGTCTGATGCCTTTGCAGGTCAGATGTTTTAGCTGCTTTTTACCTGCTAATCGAATTTTCATTTGTGTCTGGTTATCTTTTGCTGTATGCTGGACATTTTATGTAAAAAAATGTGTATGGTAACCATTTGAGTTCTATAATAGTGCTTCCTGCTAAAGAGGGAGTAATTCTAGTTTTCATTTCCTTAATTCATTTTTTCCTCTCCATTTTTAGTAATGATTCATGTTCCATAGGTGATTGTATAACATAACACAAACAACACGGGAAAGTAGAATTTCCCCAGGGAAGATGTCTGGCTTCAAATAGTTCCCTTCACTAATTGGTAGAGGGATCCTGATTCATGTCAAGAATCATTCCCTTCACTTACAGAAGCAAGTCAGGTTCTCTATCACTGGCCCAACCTAGGGTTTGCGCCTTCCTTTCTACTATTGGCTTAAATGGTATTACACTGAGCAAAACTGAGCAATTCCCCGTTCTGCAACAGCATGCTCTGTTTTCCTGCCTGAATACAATTCTCTCTACTTGGAATGTCCATTTACCCTTAACTTCATCTTTTCCTATGGAAATATCTCAAGACCCAGCCCAAATACTCCCTTCTCAAGAAGCCTTCCCAACTGGATGCAATTTTTTCCCTCTTCTGAATCCTCTCAGTATTTGGTACTTTTTAATGGACTTTTCGGTCTTGAGGTTACTTGTGTATTCCTTTTAATCCCATTCAATTGTAGAGACCCTACAAGTTACATTACCAGACTACATATCTGCTTATTCATTTCAAAAATGTGGATGGTAACAGAACATCTTTTACAGGGCTGTTGTGAGGATTAAGTTAGCTAACATATGAAACGCTATTTCTAAGGAATAGTAGTGGAGTGCTCAGATAAATGTTAGCTGTTACTACCATCCCTTAGAAATACTGTGATTTTGATGGAACAGTTTTCACCAAGGTGAAAGCAGAATCCTAACAAATCATTTTTTAAATTCTGGGCTGGGGCCGGGCGGGGTGGCTTAGGCCTGTAATCCCAGCACTTTGGAAGGCCGGGGCGGGCGGATCACGAGGTCAAGAAATCGAGACCATCCTGGCCAACATGGTGAAACTCCGTCTCTACTAAAAATATGACCAACATGGCGAAACCCCGTGTCTACTAAAAATACAAAAATTAGCCGGGCATAGTAGCACGCACCTGTAATCCCAACTACTCAGGAGACTTGCTTGAACCCCGGAGGCGGAGGTTGCAGTGAGCCGAGATCATGCCACTGCACTCCAGACCGGACGACAGAGCTAGACTCTGTCTCAAAATAAATAAATAAATAACAAATTAATTAATTTAATTAAATTAAAGTCTACTATCTGAGGTAATGGACGAAAAAGCCTACGGAAGGGCAACAATGGCGGCGCCTGCGCAGAGCCGAGGCGAAGATGGCAGGCAGGGAGCGGGCTTGCCCAGAGTCGCAGAGGGCGGCTCGGCGCATGTGCGGGGTGGGTGGGGCTGCGCGGGGCGGAGCCTGTGGCCCTGGTGCGGGTCTGGGTCCGTCTTGTGGCGTCCGAGTTGTCACTCTCTCGGGTTGTTACTCTGTAGCTTCTCGGCTCGCGAAAGGGAGGACCTGTCTGGGTCATGGATTTTGAGAATCTTTTCTCAAAACCCCCCAACCCGGCCCTCGGCAAAACGGCCACGGACTCTGACGAAAGGTGATCCCACATCTTTTCATCCTTTGAATGCAGGGGCTCAGCGGGACTCCGCCTCTTAGTTTCTTCAGGATTGGAGGCCGTCCGGAACCACGTCCGGGCCGCGTCGGGAGAGCCCGCGGGGAGCACGTGGGCCGGCCGGACGCCACCGTCTGACCTATAGAGGTCGTGCGGGGTCCGGGTGGGAGCAGAAGCTGAACACGGGGCTCAGGCGTAGGCCGCCACGGCCGGGGCTACCGAGAGCCTGGGCGGGGGAGCGGGGTGGAAGCGAGAAGGCTCCAGGATGCGCCCCTTTCTCTGCACAGCAGCGGGTTAGGAGCCCGCTTCTGTGGTCCGGTAGCGTCTGTCTTTACTATTGCTTGTTTCCACGAGACCGTAAACTCCCAGAGGACACTGATTGGACCTTTTTCACTGACACATGCTAGGCTCTTTTCTGTAGAAAGGACGAAACCACAAGTTTATTAAAAGGTAAAGAATAGGGAATACTCTGCCATTAGTCCACCGATTGGCATGGAAAGACCCTAAAGACCACAATAAAGCAACAGACATCATTTGGACTTAATATTTCCATTAGGTTGGAAAAGCAAAGGAGACTTTTGGACAAATGGCCCTAATTTGTAGATTTCATTTTTGGAGCAGTGCATAGTGCTTACACCCAGATGTTCACTTTTTATTCTTTGAATTTGAAATGCTAAAAACTATCTTTGTTCTTAAACCTACGTCTTTTATTTCCCTCAACTGAGATATATTTCCAATTATGGTTGATTTTACCTCTCGATATTGCTCAGCTGTTCACTCTATCTCAAATTTTAACTGATCCTCCAGAGCTTTACCTCGTGCTTTACATGAAATCATTTAATCCTCAAAACAAACTTAAAGAAAAGATGATGCTGTCTTTGTTTTACAAATGGGAAAATGAGGCACGGAGAGGCTAAATAACCTGCCGAGATTGCACAGTGTAAGTGGAAAAACTATGTTCAGGACCCATGATTTTATCACCAAGCTTCTCATGCAAAATGACTAAAATAAAATAAGGCCTATAAATATTGGAAAGAGACAAAGACTCTAATTACTTGCAGATGATACAATTTACTAAGAAAAATAACTGGAACTAATTGATACGTTGTAAAATATATAAGAATTCGTCACCAAAAAAAAAAAGATAACATGTAAAAATCCCAACAGCAGCTACCAGTTTGAAAGTGTATTGGACAAAAATTCCATCCCCAAAAACTTGACTGCAATACATAAAAGACACTTGGAATTTTGGCAAAATGATGGGTGAAGGATGGTATGGAAGTATGGTGAGCTGTCCATATTATTTGCCCATTTTTCTTCTTTTTGGTCTTTTTCAAATTCTAGGATCTCTTATCTGAGAGTACTTTACTCCCAATTGTCATTTGTCTTTGCCTATGGCATTATTTTTCAAGATATAAAGGAATGGGGATGTTGTGGTTTTGTTTTATCCAGTCAAATGAATCAGTCTTTTCTCATATGGTTTCTGGTTTTTTTCCTAGTAATTTGTGATGGGAGTACTTCTCATTCATTCAAAAAATCGTATTCAGCACCTGCTATGGCCTTGCGGATATAGCGGTAAATGAACAAGAGATGAAAATTTCTGTACTAATGAATTTACGTTATTAGGGGGAGGGGGAGACAAACAATACATAAATATATCGTATTTAAATACCCTGAGAAAATGAATGAAGGCTAAGGGGAAAATAAGTACTGGTGGGATGGTAGGGAGGGGGCAGATTTTTTGATTTTTTTATTTTTATTTATTTATTTATTTATTTTTTGAGACAGAGTCTTGCTCTGTCGCCCAGGCTGGAGTGCAGTGGCGCAATCTCAGCTCGCTGTAGGCTCCACCTTTCGCTTTCACACCATTCTCCTGCCTCAGCCTCCGGAGTAGCCGGGACCACAGGCGCCTGCCACCACACCCGACTAATTTTTTTGTATTAGTAGAGACGGGGTTTCACCGTGTTAGCCAGGATGATCTCGATCTCCTGGCCTCGTGATCCACCCACCTCCGTCTCCCAAAGTGCTGGGATTACAGGCATGAGCCACCGTGCCCGGCCAGGCAGGTGTGGATATTTTAAGAAGGTAGATAAGGAAAGCCTCACTGATAACGTTGGTAAGTTTTAAAAACCTGTGTAGGGACCTGAAGGAGGTGAGGGGGTTTCATAGTCTAGAGGAGTGGAGAGGAGTCTGTGTAAAGGTCCTCAGGGGAAGTGAGCTTGGTGTGTTTGCGTTAGGGGAGCAGAGTGGCCAGAAGGACAGCTGGGGTGGAGTAAGACGGACTTGGAAGTCTGCGAGGTATTGGGGTAGGGTTATGGGATCATGGAGTAACTGGTAGGTGCCAAAATAAGGACTTTGGCTTTTACTCTGAATGAGACAACAGACCATTGGAGGGTTTTTCAGCAGAGTGACATTTGAAATATTTTAGCAGGGTCATTCTAGTTGTGTTGAGAGTAGAATGTAGGGGTGCCAGAGCAGCTCGGATTGTTGTATTAGTGGCAAGAAGTGGTCAAATGTGGGTATGTTGAAGATAGAACAAACTGGATTTCCTCCAAGATTGGATGGGGATGTAAGAGAGGAATCAAGATTGACTTTAAGGTTTTGGTGGGGATCTTGAGAGGGATGGCGCTGCCGATTTAGATAGCAAGAAGGATTAGGCTTCAGAGAGAAGAGTAAGAGTTCAGTGTTGGATGTTTTAAGATTACATATGTCTAGTAGATGTTCAGGTGGTTATGTTGAGTAGGAAGTTAGCTCTGTTTGGTTTTAAGAGGAGGAGTTTGGGTTAGAGACTTGGATATTGAAATCAGCTACATACGGATGATATTCATAGTGATGATATAGAAAGTGATAGCCTAGAATGAGAATATAGACAAAGAAGAGAAGAGGTGAGAACTGACTTTTAAAGTTCTGAAGATGAGGAACCAACAAAGGAGACTGAGAAGTTGTAGCTGTGAGGAAAGAAGAAACTAGAAGAGCCCACTATCTCTGAAGCTAAGTAAAGAACATGTTTTACACAGAAGAGGTGGTCAGACTCTGTCCTATCCTGCTCATAGGTCTAATATGGGTGCTGAGTATTGTAGACCTTCATAGTGAAAGTAGACATCTATTTAGAATGGGCAGTGTTGAATAATAGTGTGATTGTAGGGCACATACTTGGCAGCCCTGCCTGCCTGCTGGGGCTCAGATCTCAGCTCCACCATGTATTAGCTCTGTGACAAGTTACATATCCTTTCTGTGATTGTTTTCTCATCCGTAAAATGGGCTTTTAGTATGTATGTCATAACACTGTTGTTTGTGATAAGTGTTATGTGTATGGAGCAGCATCTGGCACAGAGTAAGCATCATTCAAGTGTTGGATGATGGTGTTACTGCTATCGAGGTCATTATCGTCATTATTCCTCTGCCTAAGGAGAGGTTGCCTCGTACTCCATGAGGTGATTCATTACTGGAAAGTATAGCAATAAAGGTTCACAAGTATTTGGGATTTTTGGTTCTTGTAATGGTGGCTTCGGTAGAAGGCTCACAACTTGGTACCTCATCTGATGGATGTAACTCAGGAGCTCTGAGTCAGTGTAAACTGTTGAATTGGACAAAGCCGTGAAGCCTGAGCTCCTGTAACTTTGAAGGAAGAGCCAGAGAGCCACTGTTCACATTCTCCTTGTGCTGTCAGTGCTTTCCCTTTGTAACATGTTTCCTTGAGACGGGACATATTGCCCAATTCCTTGCCTTACCTGGTGTATAACTCATATTTTAATTCACAGCTTTTCCCAATCTTGTGTTCAGTAGTCACCACTTACTAAGACACTATTTTCTTCAGCTCCCTGTATCTCTAGTATCAACCATTATTTAGATACACCGATACATTTTATTGGCTTATTTGTTCACCATTTTCTTTTATTTCCCATCCCTCTTGGGTTCATATTTAGTTTCGCTGGAATATCCTCAAGTAATTGTCTCAGACTGTTATATATATGCATGGTCAACTTCTCAGTCCCGTAAATCTAAAAACAGTTCTTCTTTTCGTCTTTACACTTAAATGTGTTTGTCTCGCTCCTAATCTCAAAAGGCACTCTGCATTCTGCCTAAAATACCCTTCTCCCTCACATTCCTCTCTCCTCTTTATTGGCTAACTCATAAGTATCATTTAGGCTCTGAATGCCTCTGGTCCCCAAGTCTGGGTTGTGTTCTGCGTATATGCCCCTGTACTTACGTATACCATATTGAAATAGCTTTATTTTTTTCTCCTAAGCAGATAGAAAGCTCTCAGAAGACAGTGACAGGGTCTGTATTTTTCATTGCTGTAGTCCAGGGCCTAAGGTCTGGAGCCTATTGAATTAATGGAATGATGGATGAATGAATGATTTATATAGCTGCTAATGCTTGAACATTAAGGTTGTATAATGTAAAATTTTAGTTTGATAGGTTATTCATAAACATATATTGACATTTATTGGTCAACATAATTTTGTACATTACCTGGAGTATTTGGTGTGGAATTTGAATTTGTAATTTCTTTGAGGGTAAGGTGAAGACAAGCCAAAGCAGCGAATTGTAACACTGTGGTATAAACTCTTCAGGTTGAAAAAACCCTTTTGTGTTATTTGATATTTTTGCAGAATTGATGATGAAATAGATGATGCAGAAGTTGAAGAAACACAAGAGGAGAAAATTAAACTGGAGCACGATCAAATTCCCAAAAAAGTAAGATTAAGTTGACAACTGTTTAAGTTGAAAACACATTTTTTTTTTCTCAGTTTCACATGGAACAACAAAAAAAGAAAAAACAGATAGAAATGGATATGAGAAATTAATGAAGGATCCTACTTGTCTCATTTTAACCAGCATTTGGGACCCAGTTACTTATATCAAAGAAACCTGGTTATACTTTTTAAAGAAATTATTATTCAATAACATTATTGTCATTTAACATGAACTATTTTTAATAATTGCCTTTATTTTGGTTTTTGTTGTTTCCAAAATGGATTGTAAACAGTTTCAAAAGCTTCTTTCAAGTTGGGTTGACATTTTTGAGGGTTATGATTTGTTAACTTAACCAACCTGCCCGCATTAGTTCATTAGGGCTGCTATAACAAAGTACCACAGACCAGGTGGCTTAAGCTGGGTGCGGTGGCTCATGCTTGTAATGCCAGCACTTTGGGAGGCTGAGGTGGGTGGATCATGAGGTCAGGAGTTTAAGACCAGCCTGGCCAATATGGTGAAACCCCGTCCCTACTGAAAATACAAAAGAAAATTAGCTGGGCATGATGGCACGTGCCTGTACGCCTGTAGTCCCAGCTACTAGAGAGGCTAAGGCAGAAGAATTGCTTGAACCTGGGAGGCGGAGGTTGCAGTAAGCCAAAATCCCGCCACTGCACTCCAGCCTGGACAACAGAGCGAGACGCCGTCTCAAAAAAACAAACAAACAAACAAAAAAACCCCCAGAACTTTATTGTCTCAAGGATCTGGAGGCTGGTGGTCCCAGCACAAGGTGTTGGCGGGGTTGATTCCTTCTGAGGGCTGTGGGGAAGAATCTATTCATTCCTCTCCCCTAGCTCCTCATGGAGTGCTGGCAGTCTTTGGTGTTGGCTTGCAAAAGTGTCATCCTGATTTCTGCCTTCATATTCACATGGTGTTCTCCCTGTATGCCTGTGTCTGAATTGTCTGAATTCCCTATTTTTTGAGGCAGAGTCTTGCTCTGTCACTCAGGTTGGAGTGCAGTGGCACGATCTCTGCTCACTGCAGCCTCCTTCTGGAGTCAAGCAATTCTCAGCCTCCCAAGTAGCTGGGATTACAGGTGTACACCACCACGCCTGGCTAATTTTTGTATTTTTTGTAGAGACAAAACGTACATGGGTTTTGCCATGTTGCCCAGGCTGGTCTCGAACTCCTGGGGTCAAGTGATCTGACCACCTCGACCTCCCAAAGTGCTGGGATTATAGGCCTGAGCCACTGTGCCCGGACAAATTTCCCTTTTTTATAAGGAACTCAGTCATTGAACTGGGCCCACTCTAATGACCTAATCTTAATTAATTACACTTGCAGTGGCCCTATTTCCAGAAAAGATCACATTCTGAGGTATTAGGGATTAGAAGTTCATTATAAGAATTTTAGGAGGGCACAGTTCAACCCATAACACAGATTATGTCTATTCCTGTCTTGCCCTTCTTTTCTGTTTTTGAACATGGAGAAACCCCATCTCTACTAAAAATACAAAATTAGCCAGGCATGGTGGCAGGTGCCTATTACTCGGGAGGCTGAGGCAGGAGAATTGCTCGAACCCGGGAGGCGGAGGTTACGGTGAGCTCATATCGTGCTATTGCACTCCAGTCTGGGCAACAAGAGCGAAACTCCGTCTCAAAAAAAAAAAAAAAAAAAAACATTTGAGTTTTAACACACTATGGAAGAATGGGTTAAATTGTCACCGAGACTCATAAGACAGAAATATACTTTTAATAGTATATCTTTTACTTAGCTTGCTTATTTATTCATTTATTTATTTATTTTTGAGATGGAGTCTCTGTCGCCCAGGCTGGAGTGCGGTAGCGTGCTTGGTTCACTGCAACCTCCTCCTCCTAGGTTCAAGCAATTTTCCCACCTCAGCCTCCCGAGTAGCTGGGACTACAGGCATGTGCCACCACACCTGGCTAATTTTTGTATTTTTAGCAGAGATGGGGTTTCACCGTGTTGTCCAGGCTGGTCTCAAACTCCTAAGCTCAAGTGATCCGCCAGCCTTGGCCTTCGAAAGTGCTGGGAGTACAGGTTTGACCCACCATGCCCAGCCTCCTTAGCTTCATAAAAGAATACAGGACAGAAGATAAAGCAGGTACAGTATCTTCATCTTCTTAGAAGCCTCTGAGCTACCCAAGTAAGCAACTTCTTTTGCCCTCTGGGGCCTGTGTGGCTTCCAAAGATGAGAGCCAAGGTTGACGGCAAGAAATTGCAACTTCAACTTCCCACAAGTCTTCTCTACTACTTGAGTCACATAGGCCTCAGTCTTTTATGCCCACTTTTAGCTCCTCCAGTCTTTGTATTATATGTTATAACCTTGCACAGCAGACAGGCAGAAACAACATTCTACAACTGTCTTACGTAGTTTCCACAAAACAGTATTGTGAGAAGATGGACTCCTAGGTTATTCCCAACCAGGCTTGCTTCAGCGCAGGCTCTTCACTCACAAGTACGTAAAAGGTGAATACATTATCAAGTAAATATCACAGCTAATTAATTAACTTACTTATTTTTGAGACAGAGTCTCGCTCTGTTGCACAGGCTGCAGGTAAAGTGGCGAAATCTTGGCTCACTGCAACCTCCACCTCCCAGGTTCAAGCAGTTCTCCTGTTTCAGCCTCCCGAGTAGCTGGGATTACAGGTGACTGCCACCCACCTTGCCTGGCTAATTTTTGTATTTTTAGTAGAGATAGGGTTTTGCCATGTTGGCCAGGCTGGTCTCAAACTCCTGACCTCGAGATCTGCCCGCCTCGGCCTCCCAAAGTGCTGGGATTACAGGTGTGAGCCACAATGCCCGACCACAGCTTATTTAAAAGAGAACGCCCAGGTAAACACTTCGCAAGTTAAGAAAGAGCATTACCTCAGAGATATTGAGGGTTTGATTTCATACCACCACAATAAAGCAAATATTGCAGTAAAGCTAGGCACAGGAATGTTTTGGTTTCCCAGTGCATATAAAAGTTATATTTACACTATACTGAGTCTGTTAGGTGTGCAATACTACTATATCTTAGAAAACAGTATATATCTTAATTAAAAATTCTTTGTTGCTAAAAAATGTTAACAATCAGCGAGTCATCATTTTGATGGCAGAGGGTCTCGCCTCAGTGTTGATGGCTGCTCAGGGTGGTGATTGCTCTGGCAATTTCTTAAAATAGGACAGCAGTAAAGTTTGTCACCTCAGTTGACTTCTCCTTTTACAAAAGATTTCTCTGTAGTATGTGATGCTGTTTGATAGCATTTTACCCACAGTAGAACTTCTTTCAAAATTGGAGTCAGTCCTCTCAACCCCTGCCACTGCTTTATCAACTAGGTTTATATAATATTCTAAATCTGTTGTCATTTCAACAATGTTCATAGCAGCTTCACCAGATACAGATTGCATCTCAGGAAACCACTTTGCTCACTCATAAGAAGCAGCTCCTCATCTGTTCAAGTTTGATCATGAAGTTGCAGCAATTCAGTCTCATCTTCAATCTCCACTTCTAATTCTAGTTTTCTTGCTATTTCCACCACACCTGAAATTACTTCCTCTACTGAAGTCTTGAACTTCTCAGTCATCCCTGAGAGTTGCAATCAACTTTCAAACTCCTGTTAATATTGACATTTGACCTTCTGCCATGAATCACGAATGTTCCTAATGGCAGCTAAAATGGTGAATCCTTTCTAGGTTTTCAATTTACTCTGCCCAGATCCATCAGAGAAATCACGTTCTGTGGCAACTATAACCTTAAAAAGTGTATTTCATTCTTAAGTAAGACTTGAAAGTCAATTCCTTGATCCATAAGCTGCAGAATGGACGTTTTGTTTGTGGACATGGAAACATGCATCTCCATCAGGGCTCTTGGGTGACTGGGTGCATTGTCAATGAGCAGTAATATTTTGAAAAGGGTATTTTTTCTGAGCAGTAGGTCTCAACAGTGGGCTTAAAATATTTGGTAAACCATGCTGTAAACGGATATACTGCCATCTAGGCTTTGTTGCTCCATATAAGGAGCACAGGCAGAGTATATTTAGTGTATACTCTTAAGGGCCCTAGAATTTTCAGACTGGTAAATGAGCATTGGTTTCACCTTAAAGTCACCAGCTGCATTAGCTCCTAACAAGAGTTAACCTGTCTTTTTGAAGCCTTTTAAAGCATTTTATTTGTATAAATTTACAGGGTGCAAGTGCAATTTTGGATTACATGCATAGATTGTAGTGGTGAAGTCAGGGTATTCTTTGAAGCTTTGAAGTGAGGTATTGACTTCTCTCTAGTCCTAGGTGACATCTTCTTCCAATATAATGCTGTTTCATTTACTTTGAAAATCTGTTGTTTAGTGTAGCCACCTTCATCAATGATCTTAGCTAGATCTTCTGGATAATTTACAGCTTTTACATCAGCACTTCTGCTTCATCATGCATTTTTTCTTTTTCTTTTTTTTTTTGACACAGAGTCTTGCTCTGTTGCCCAGGCTGGAGTGCATTGGCGTGACTTGACTCACTGCATCCTCTGCCTTCTGGGTTCAAGCGATTCTCCTGCCTCAGCCTCCCGAGTAGCTGGGACTACAGGTGTGCACCATCATACCCGGCTAATTTTTGTATTTTTAGTAGAGACGGGGTTTCACCATGTTGGCCAGGCTGGTCTTGAACCCCTGGCCTCAAGTGATCTGCCCGCCTCGGCCTCCCAAAGTGCTGGGATTATAGGCATGAGCCACTGTGCCTGGTCTATCATGCACTTTTACGTGATGGAGACATTGTCTATTCATAAACCTCAAGAACCAACCTCTGCTAACTTCAGACTTTTCTTCTGTAGCTTCCTCACCTTTTTCCACCTTCACAGATTTGAAGAGAGTTAGGGCCTTGCCCTGGATCAGGCTTTGGCTTAAGGGAATGTTGTGACTGGTCTGATCTTCTATCCAGACCAATACAACTTTCTCTGTACCAGCAATAAGGCTGTTTTGTGTTCATATCATTAGTGTGTTCATTGGAGTAGCACTTTTAATTTCCTTCAAGAACCTTCCCTTTGCATTCACAAGCTGGCTATTTGACTTATGAGGCCTAGCTTTCAGCTTGTCTCGGCTTTTGACATGCCTTCCTGGCTAAAAGTTAATCATTTCTACGCTTTGATTTCAAATAGAGAGCAGTATGCTTTCCTTTCACTGGACATGAAGTCATTGTAGGGTTATTAATTAGTCTACACTTCAATATCTTGGTGTCTCAGGGAATAGGGAAGCCTGAGGAGATAGGAGGAGACAGAAAACAGGGAGACAGGATGGTTGGTGGAGCAGTCAGAACACATGCAGCATTATTGATTAAGTTCTCCATTCTATGTGGGCATGGTTCATCGGCATCCCTCAAAAATTCAGAGTAGCCAGGCGCAGTGGCTCACGCCTATAATCCCAGCACTTTGGGAGGCCCAAGGCAGCGGAGGATCACGAGGTCAGGATGATCGAGACCATCCTGGCTAACATGGTGAACCCCCATCTCTACTAAAAATATCAAAAAAAAAAAAAAATTAGGCCGGCGGCAGTGCGCGGTGGTGGGCGGCCTGTAGTCCCAAGCTACTTGGGATACTGAGGCAGGAGGATATGGCGTGAACTCAGGAGGCGAGAGCTTGCAGTGAGCCGAGATTGTGCCACTGCACTCGAGCCTGGGCGACAGAGCGAGACTCTGTCTCAAAAAATAGTAATAATAATAATAAATAAAATTTAAAAATTACAATATTAACATCAAACACCACTGATCACAGATCACTGTAATAGATATAGTAATAACAAAAAAGTTTGAAATATTGCAAGAATTATCAAAATGTGACACAGACACAGTGAGCACATGCTTTTCAAAAAATGGTGCCAATAGACTTGTTCAACACAGGATTGCCACAGACCTTCAATTTGTAAAGAAATGTGTTATTTGTGACACACGGTAAAATGAAGGACATTAAAATAAGATATTCCTATAACTTTCTTTGTAGATATCTCACATCTTATATACCTTTTGTTATATTTATTGCTAAGTGTTTAATGAAACTATTGTGAATAATTTTTTTAAAGTATCATTTTCTGGCTGTTGGTTTCTCAGTGGTTGGCATACACACATATGTAGGGATGCATGGAAGACAGATTTTTTGAGTTCTTGTTCACATTTCTGAAAATATCTTGAATTTATCCTCATTGTTGATAGATAGTTTGGCTGAAATAGGATTAAGTTTGAGGTTACTGCTCCTTTGTCTTCTACTATCCAGTGTTACAAAGATGAAGTCTTACCAATTTCATTCTAATATCTTTGTAAGTATCCCTTTTTCTCTGGAAGCTTTAAGGCTCTTCTCTTCATTCTTGGCATTCTTAATTCTATGAGATTGTGAATCTTTTTTCATTCCGCTTAGTGCTATTGTGGTGAGATTATTTACTTACATCCTTTTATATGAGACAGAGCTCTTACTTTTTCTCTCTTTTTTCTTTATATCCCAAGATATTTCCTCTGTTTCTATTTATCATCATTTCATAAATTACAATTTAACTAAGATCTTATTCTTGTTTTGATAGCTAACATTGTTTTTGAATATATTTTGAATATCTTTGTGTATTTTTTAATTTTCGAGTTCTTTTTCTCAAATGATGGTTGCTTCTTCTGGATCTGTTTTTCAGTCATTTTCTTGCTTTTTTGTTATGTTCTGTAGATCAGGGATTGGTAAGCATTTTCTATAAAGGACAAGACAATAAATCTTATAGATTTTTAAGCCAAGAAGCAAAATTGAGGATGTTATGTAGGTACTTATATAATGAAGGAGACAAAAAAAATTTCCACAACCTTTGACTGATAGAATTCAGTACATAATAATAGTCGTTTTTAAATACATACTGAATAATCTTTTTGGTTCCCCCATTCCTACTAAATAAAATTAAAGGCCAAAACCAAGGTAAACATAATCTATCACAGGAGTCAGCCAACCTTTTCATAAAGGATCAGTTAGTGAATCTTTTCACCTTTGTAGGCCATGTTGTCTCTGTCACAACTAAGACAGTATGTAAATGAATGGATGTAATTGGTGTTACAGTAAAACTGTATTTACAGAAACAGGTAGTGAAGCTGAAAGTTTGCCAACCCCTGATCTTTCAGTCCAGAAGTTATATTTACAAGTTTATTCTATGGTGTTAGTGGCAAAAAGGCACTCTTTCTTGAAGACTTGGAGACAAGAAGTTTGGTGGCCTGAAGATATTAGATTGGTTGGTAGTCTTGTCTGGTGTAGTGAAGATAAGGTATAATTGAGGCCATTGTCAGATCAAGAAACTTCCTCAGCTTGTTTGGATTCTTTAAGCAGGGAGCAAGTTCATTTTCTAGGCTTATAATCAATCCTCTGGTGGAACAACTCCTAACTTTGAAGTTAAACATCAGAAGTAAACTATTGCCAGGCACGGTGGCTCATGACTGTAATCCCAGCACTTTGGGAGGCCAAGGCAGGCGGATCACTTGAGGTCAGCAGTTCGAGACCACCCTGGCCAATATGGTGAAACCCCGTCTCTACCAAAAATACAAAAATTAGCTGGGCATGGTGGTGCACGCCTGTAGTCCCAGCTACTCGGGAGGCTAAGGCAAGGGAATCGCTTGAGCCTGGGAGACAGAGGTTGCAGTGAGCCAGGATCGTGCCAGTGTACTCCAGCCTGGGCAATAGAGTGAGACTCCATCAAAAAAGAAAAAAAAAGTAAACTGTTAAATCGGACCACCTAATATATTTTATAATAGCGAGTCTTCTGTTTTGTTTTTTGTTTGTTTGTTTTGAGTTTGCTTCTTAGTTATCATGTGAAAGCAAATAAGGGACCAGACCCCAAAGTATGCAAACTTTCTGATTAAAATGTGTCATACATACTAATTATAATTATACAGTTTAATATCCCTGTGTCACATAGACACATGTGTAACCAATACCTGAAAATTTTTATGCAGAAATTGCTTTAAGTCATCTGCTATGATCAGCTTGGGCTCCTCTAGGATTAGCTCCCATACCTGGGTTCTTCACCCTTCCGTGGGCACTTGCAACAACAGAGTTAGGAAACTTTCTGAAAGTGAAGTTAACTCGATTACAGAGAACAGGGTAGTTCTTTATTCCTTGTCATCATTGTTGCTACCACTCCTGTGAGTTATAGGAGAAAGACTAGGCTTTGGTAACTTAGATGTATCTTAAGTGTAAGTGGGTTTTCATATGGACCATTACAGTTCACTTGGTGTTTTACAAAATGATAAATTATTGAAGACATTTAAAAGTACTGTCAATGCAAAGGCAGAAATGTAATATGTGAACTGTAATACTGTAATCCTCTCACAGCAAATAATTAAGATTTGGGGGTTTAGACGTTTAATTCAGTCAAATGCATACAATGTACAAATTTAGAATCTTCCCTCAAATCATCTTTAAGGATACGTATGTCATAGTGGTTTGTTAGTTTGTTTTTAATTCTGGAAATGTTCAAATATATGAGTGGAGAGAATAGTATATGAACCCCATGTACCTGTTACCCAACTTCAACAATGACCAGTTCATAGCCAATCTTGTTTCTTCTGTATGGCCAGATTGTTTTGAATCATGCTAGGTTTTTAAAATTGAAGTTTTAATTTTTACTTAGTTTAGACACTTTGGAAACTCTGCAGTATCACCAAAAAGTTCACTGCATAGAAAATCAAGAAGTAAGGACTATGATGTATATAGTGATAATGATACCTGTGGTCAGGAATCAGAAGATAATTTTGCCAAAGAGCTTCAACAGTACATACAAGCCAGAGAAATGGCAAATGCTGCACAACCTGAAGAATCTACAAAGAAAGAAGGAGTAAAAGATACCCCACAGGGTAAGAGTCAAACTATTTTATCATTTAAAGTTTATCTAGAGAAGCAGTCACAGTTTTCCATATATGGACAGAGGATTTTTCCTTGCACTTTCTCTCATGGTAAGACTGTGGTTTTCATGGATATTTATACCAGACATGAGCTTGCATGACCAGAGACCTCATCTGAGACCTGGCCACTTGGTGCATTAAATGCTCAGTTTGTAGGAGGATGGAGGATGGAGGCGGGTTATCAAAGGCCATGTCTATTTCTAAAGGGAGAATGCTAAAGCCCTGGCCTCTGCATGTATGAAGGATAGGATATCCTGTTTGTATTGTTGTCATTTAAAGAGGAATTGACTGGAATGGTTGTATGTCAGACTGTAACTCAGAAATATATTATTCTGGATTACTAAAATGAGATTTAGCCATAAATATGAGGGTAAATGGCAATTATAAATGAAATTTTTGGCCAAGCATGGTGGCTCACGCCTGTAATCCCAGCACTTTGGAAGGCCAAGGCGGGTGGATCACTTGAGGTCAGGAGTTCGAGACTAGCCTGGCCAACATGGTGAAACCCTGTCTCTACTAAAAATAAAAAAAGTAGCAGGGTATGGTGGCACACGCCTGTAATCCTAGCTACTCTGGAGGCTGAGGCACAAGAATCACTTGAGCCCAGGAGGCAGAGGTTGCAGTGAGCCGAGATCGCACAGTGCAGTCCAACCTGGACAATAGAGCAAGACTCTGTCTCAAAAAAAAAAAAAAATTAAAATTTTAATGCTGTCATTTTTTTGTGAGCCCAGGAGTTCAAGGCTCCAGTAAGCTGTGATTATGCCATTGCAGGATGGATGGATAAATGCAGGGATGGACAGATAAATAAATAAAAACTTAATCTATTTAAAATGTTTTCAGTGAAAAATCTGACAGTAATATATGAGGTCATTTTAAACACTTAAAGCTTTTACTGTTACAGTTCCTAATTAGATCCATCATACTCTGAACACTTCAAAAGGATCTGCCTTAGAGCTTGTAAGACTGATTTTATTATCTTACTTTTTTCTTGACAATACCTTATATATTTTTAAAAACAATGAATGGAGAATCCAGGGTGTATTATCATAATTCTCTTCTTGGTCCCTTAATCCCAGAGCTTCTAGAAAGACTGGTCAGTATCATGCCAGTTTTCACTTATTGAGGCTTAGAGAAGTTTCCTCAATTATTGTAAATCACACTTCTTTTTTCCGTTTGTTTGGAGACAGGTCTCACTCTGTTGCCCAGGCTGGAGTGCAGCAGTGCAGAGCTATAAGCTGTAGCATAAGTTAACATGTAAAAACTCAAGCAATCCTCCTGCCTTAGCCTATAGTCCCACAGTAGCTGGACTACAGGCATGCACCCACCACACCCAGCTAAGTTTTTGTAGAGACAAGATCTCTAGGCTGCCTAGGCTGGCCTTGAACGCTTAGGCTGGCCTTGAACTCCTAGCCTTGAGCAGTCCTTCTGCCTCAGCCTCCCAAAGAGCTGGGATTACAGACATGAGCCACTGCACCTGGCCCCGTACTTCTTAAAAGTAAACTGCTATTGTAACTTTATGTCATTTTTTAAATTAATTTTTTACTTTTAGCTGCTAAACAAAAAAATAAAAATCTTAAAGCTGGTCACAAAAACGGCAAACAGAAGAAAATGAAGCGAAAACGGCCTGGCACTGGAAACAAAGGATCAAATGCTTTGCTGAGGAACAGTGGCTCACAGGAAGAGGTATAAGAACATATGCTTCTAGAAATTCCTGGCCCCTGCATGCTTTTGGACTTTATCTTACACTTCAGTGACAAGAAGTGCTGTGTGATATGGAGAGGTGGAAGCATCCTACAGAATCAGGGTTTTCAGATGAAGATGTCCTTTTACTATCACTGGGTTCTCCGTGTTCTTCCTTCTTATTGCAGCTTTCTTTTTCCCACTAATTAGCTGCCAACACTACTTTTAAGCCTTAGTGTTCTCACTATTGTTCCTGAATATATGCACACAAGCTCCTTGATTTTTATTATTATTATTATTATTATTATTTTGAGATGGAATCTTGCCTTGTCACCCAGGCTGTTGCAATCTTGGCTCACTGCAACCTCCACCTCCCGGGTTCAGGCGATTCTCCTGCCTCAGCCTCCTGAGTAGATGGGACTACAGGTGTGTGCCACCACGCCCAGCTAATTTTTGTATTTTTAGTAGAGACAGGATTTCGCCATGTTGGCCAGGCTGGTCTTGAACTCCTGACCTCAGGTGATCCACCTGCCTCGGCTCCCACCACCCGCCACCTCCCTAAGTGCTGGGATTATAGTCATGAGCCACTGTGGCCAGCCGAGGCTCCTTGATTTTTTTTTTTTCTTTCTTAGTATTATACTATCAATGACTCTGGAAAAATGGGAAGCCAGAGAAGATCAAATAGTCATGAGGCATTTCAAAGGTCACTGAGTCTTACAAATTTTTTACTATCTAAAGTCCCTCATCCTGGCTCCTTCTGGAAATTAAAAATGAATATTTCTGAGCATTGGCCTTACCAAATCTCCCCACCTTCCTATATTTTGATTTTGTTTTTTAGAAGTTCCTTTTCCTTGGTCTGTAGATGTAATCAGGGTAGAATAATAAGTACCTTTTCTGGATTCCACTTTTCTGAGGGCTTTTAACTGGATGGCAACCTTTTTTATTACACTTGGTTATAGGGGACAAGGGTAAAGGGTGGTAAAATATTAGAAATGCCAAATATTCTAGATTGAAAAGCATTTATATACAGTCTATCCCCTGCCTCCATATTTTATGAATGAGGAATCTGAAGCCCTATGGTTCAGATAACTACCCATAGTCACACAGGGCCGAGCCAGGACTAGGATTTTGTTTCCCAACACCCTGTCAGTATTCTCTTTTCATTTGATTTACATGGTTCAAATGATTATTCAGCCAAAGCTGACAGCCCTCCTACACAAGGAACAAATTCTAAACATACATAGTAGAATTTAGTAACATTACCAAATAAAACAAAAGATTTAAACTGGCAGATATTTATAAGACATAAATTTGATGGTGCTAAGTGGAAATTTGACATTATTGTAAATGACTGTACCGTCAGCTCCCTTGTTTGCACATACTGTATTCCTAAGACTGTATTCAGAAATTTGGTATACAGAAGCTATAAGCTGTAGCATAAGTTAACATGTAAAAATTACCTTATGTTTCTGAAGAGCTTAAATGCATTATAAAATCTCCTTCCTTTTTTTAATATGAAAATCTCCTTTTATACCTTTATCACCATCTTTGATGGTGTATTGCTACTTGTATTTGTTAATTTGGGCTGATAAGTGTGCTCAACTCACACCCAGTGAGCATCTCATTGAAACTATAGATTCTACTGCTTTTGATTCACTCTGATTTCCATCTTTGTCTCTATTGCTCTAAAGATCTTTGTTCTTAGACTTCATTTTTTAATCATAAATATCACTTTCTTTTAAAAAAAATTTTTTTTTTCTCCCTGAGACAGAGTCTTGTTCTGTTGCCCAGGCCGGAGTGCAGTGGTGCAATCTCGGTTCACTGCAACCTCTGCCTCCTGGGTTCAAGAGATTCTCCTGCCTCAGCCTCCAGAGTAGCTAGGATTACAGGCATCTGCCACCATGCGCGGCTAATTTTTGTATTTTAGTAGAGATGAGGTTTCACTATGTTGGCCAGGCTGGTCTCGAACTCCTGACCTCAAGTGGTCCACCCACCTCAGCCTCCCAAAGTGCTGGGATTACAGGTGTGAGCCACTGCGTCTGGCCCATTTAAAATTTTTTTTTCATTCAGTTTTACAAAATAAGGGTAATGTATAATAAAATATACAAATCAATATAAACACTGATATTCAATGATGGAATGCTGTTGAAACTGACAAAACATTCATTTTTAACCTGGTGTACCGAAATCCAAATTTTACATATGAAGGCCAATTTAGAAGAATCACCCTTTAAGGCTTTGAAGTTGGTTTAAATAATTTTGTGTAACAGAATAAAATATTTAATTTTCTGTTTCTTACATTTAGTTTTTTTGTTTTTGTTTTTAAAGGATGGTAAACCTAAAGAGAAGCAGCAGCATTTGAGTCAGGCATTCATCAACCAACATACAGTGGAACGCAAGGGAAAACAAATTTGTAAATATTTTCTTGAAAGGAAATGTATTAAGGTATAAAAATGTGTAAGCAAAAATCTACTAAAATGTAAAACTGCTCTTTCTGTTTGATACTTATCTAATTCATACCTTTAGGTTTTTAAAGGTGTTTCATTCTGGAAAAAATTCAGTTAGAAAATTTTAGTGAAGTATTCTTGCATGTTTAAAAAAGTAGCCAAGCCTGTAATCCCAGCACTTTGGGAGGCCAAGGTGGGTGGATCACCTGAGTCAGGAGTTCAAGACCAGCCTGGCCAACATGGTGAAACCCTGTCTCTACAAAAATTAGCCAGATGTGGTAGCGCATGCCTGTAGTCCCAGCTACTCGGGAGGCTGAGGCAGGAGAATCGTTTGAACCTGGGAGGTGAAGGCTGCAGTAAGCTGTGATTGCGCCACTGCACTCCAGCCTGGACGATACAGCAAGACTCTGTCTCAAAAAGAAAAAAGATAATTTTTCTTTTTTAGTGAAGTATTCTTTTGTGTTTAAAAAAGTAGCCAGGCCAGTAATCCCAGCACTTTGGGAGGCCGATGCGGGTGGATCACCTAAGTCAGATAATTTTTTGGGTTTGTTGTTGTTGTTGTTCTTGTTGTTTTGAGACAGAGTCTCGCTCTGTCACCCAGGCTGGAGTGCAGTGGTGCAATATCAACTCACTTCAAGCTCCACCTCCCGGGTTCATGCCATTCTCCTGCCTCAGCCTCCCGAGTAACTGGGGCTACAGATGCTTGCCACCACTCCTAGCTGATTTTTTTGTATTTTTAGTAGAGATGGGGTTTCACCGTGTTAACCAGGATGGTCTCGATCTCCTGACCTCGTGATCCGCCCACCTCGGCCTCCCAAAGTGCTGGGATTATAGGCATGAGCCACCGATAATTTTTAAAAATGCTTTGTGTTTAAAAATGTTTGGGACTTAAGAGAATTTTAATCAAATATATGTGATGTGGTTATAATTTATTAACCATTAGAATGTGCTACCTCTAAGACTTTGGTTCTTTCTGGAATCATTTGCTTATTTAAAGTTTAGTGGGAATTAAATCATAATGACTATGGGAAATAATGGCTTTTCCTTGCTCCTCCTTTTGGCTTAGGGAGACCAGTGTAAATTTGATCATGATGCAGAGATAGAGAAGAAAAAGGAAATGTGTAAGTTTTACGTACAAGGATATTGTACCAGAGGTGAAAACTGTCTGTATTTGCATAATATCCTTTATCACAAGATATAGTGACTTTATTCTTTATAAATATTTACATGAACATTTTAAATGTGCAAAATTTTTAATGAAACCAGTGTTTTAGCTATACCAAAATGATAGTATTCAAGTCCAACTTAGTATCAAAGTGATTAAATTGTACATGGATTTTTTCATAAGCAAGAAAAGAGGAATTCTTTAGAAAATCTCTCAAATGATGATTCTTTCTGTTCAACATGGGTGATATAGAGGGTCCATGAGACCTCTTCAAGTCCCAGAAAGAATATCACAATTTCTACTGTGACACTGACTAATTGAATCTATATTCAAATAAGCTACTTCATAAAAAGGCAGGGATTACGTAATTTGGGAGTGCCTGTTTTCTGTGTATTCTGTACTGTGTAGAAATTAATTGTCCCTTAATTTGTAGAATAGCCTTAGCTCTTCAGTGCAAATGGCACAGACAAGTTATAAAAACATGGAATATAAACATTTTAGGTTAATAGCACCTTTAGTCATCACAAAATTTTTTTTTCTTCAGGCATTCAGTATAAGGAGTATCAAAATGTAATTTGAGGATTGTTTTCCTAGAAAACAATATTGAAGTTATATAGATTTATTCTGTTGTAAACAAGTCTAATGTACAAAGGATCCAGATTTGTAAGATATGTTGTTTTTGACTTTGATTCCTTCACCCCCAAAGGAATGCTTTAAAAATGATCACATTTATCAAGATACTTAAAATATATACCCCTTTCATATATGAAACATGCCTGTACTCTATTATAAGAATGGATATGAAGGAAGAAAATGTCCTGTGATAGCCGTTAAACTTGATTTATGTATGTAGTCTTTCTAAAATTAGATTTTTTAACGTATTCCAGTTAATTTATTATCTCATACTTTAAATAGAGAAATCTAGTTTCTACTAGTAGGAAAGGTCTTTTTCTTTTCTTTCTTTTCTTTTTTTTTTCCTTTGCTCTGTTGCCTAGGCTGGAGTGCGGTGGCACAATCTTGGTTCACTGCAACCTCCGCCTCCCAGGTTCAAATGATTCTGGTGCCTCAGCCTCCTGAGTAGCTGGAATTATAGGCATGCCTGCGCCATCATGCCCAGCTAATTTTTTTGTATTTTTAGTAGAGGCAAGGTTTCGCCATGTTGGCTAGGTTGGTCTTGAATTCCTGGCCTCAAGGATCTGCCCACCTCAGCCTCCTAAAGTGCTGGGATTACAGGCACGAGCCACCGCCCCTGGCCACAGAGGTCTTTATTTAGGAAAAATAAAGTCATTAAGTTAATAACATTATTTCAGTTGGATTAAAATTGTTCTTTTCCTTAACACTTGGGTCACATGAATATCCTTGTAAGTTTTACCATACAGGAACAAAATGTTATCAGGGAGAATATTGCAAGTTTTCTCATGCTCCACTGACTCCTGAAACACAAGAATTGTTGGCTAAAGTAAGTATACTTTTTAATAATCTTTTGTTTTTTCTTTTTTAAGGAATATGTTTGAACTAAGGATGAGAATTTGAAGATAATTAAGGAGAGTGCCTCTTAGGTTAGCATATGGGATATATTAGGACTGATAAGAATTCAGCTTAAATATTTTTCATTTGTATATGTTTCCTTGTAGCTGAAAGGAAGATGTATATTCATTGCTGATTTAAGTTGAATGATGTAAAATCTTCAGTGTATTTAGCCATTTTAATAGCTAAGCTAAGCTAAACAAAGCAAATCAAATAAGAAAAGTAGTACGCCTGTTATAAAGATTCTTGGAAGGAAAGTTACAAGTTACAAGTTTATAAACATTTTAGAATTACATCAGATAATAGTTAAGTAGTAATTTCAAAATGTTTTTTTCAGATATTCTTGCAGTCTGTGAGAAAAGGTTATCGAAACGTTACAGTCATTTGTATTCTTTCATTTCTCATGTTAGTTGGAGCTAGTCTTTTAAAAATTCAATCTAAGTATACATAAAAATTTAAAAGATTCTTGAAGCCAACCATACGATCTTGTGGCAAAATGTTCCCTTGAGCATACGCAAATATTACAAAGTCAAAGGTGCTTGTTTACAGATATTTTTAGGTTGTAAAATATGAATAGTTAATGTGGAATTAGAAGTTGTACCAAATATTCCGTTGTTTATTTGTATGAAATAGATATGGAAAAGTGATATATATAAAATAAGTTTTTCAGTTCCTGTAGCAGTAGTAAATAATATTAGGTGATTATTAGGATGAATTTGATTGGAATCATTTGAAAGTTATGAGTATGACAGTATACCTGAATTAGACATAAATGCATAAAAATGATTATGTGATTTTTTTTTTCATATTAGGTTTTGGATACTGAAAGGAAGCCATGTAAATAAAATAGACATAGAAAGGTAAAATTAGAATTTACCACATTTCTTTTTTTCTTGTCTAAACATCTCCAGAAGTTGGCATGTCAACCTCAATAGGGTTCTCAAATAGAAGTATTTTTCTTCTTCCTCCCCCAGTAAAAAAGAATTATAAAATATTTGATATATTTACATACCTCTATGGATCGACATCAGCCTGCTTCCTTGTGTGGGCTTGTCTATCAGGTATATTTTTATTCTTCTCTTGTATTTCTTTATAGATTTACCAAATACATATAAGTCACAAAACAATATATTTAGTTCTGCTTATGTCTGGATTTTATTCAGACTATCATACTCTCTGTATTAATTGATGACATGGCTATTTCACTCAACATTATTCATTCATGTAGATGCATGCAGCTGTCATTCATTTTTACTCCCATATAACATTTCATTCTATGTTTATGTTAGTTATTTAGTCATTCTATTAATGAATGTTTAGGTTATTTTCAATTTTTAAAAATACAAACTCTTTCTGTAAGTATCCATATACATACCTCTTGGTATGAATGTGCACAAGTTATCCACAGTATGTGCCAAGGAGTAGAATCATATCATCATTATAATATCAGTTTTTTCTCAAGTAGTTATACCAGTTTATACTCCTACAAACTGTGTAGAAGAAATCTTGTCATTCTATACTCGCCAATATTTTATATTGTCAGTACTTTAACCAATTTAGTGGATGTAAAAATAGAATCTCATAACTTAATTTGCATCTTTTCTTATGCTTACTGGCTTTTGAGTTTCATCTTTGGTGAAATGCCTGTTAATGTCTTTTGCCTATGTTTTTATTGGTCTGATTGTCCTTTATACATTGGTTTTTATATATTCCTTATATAATTCTTTGTGAGTTATGTGTGGCAGGCCTTCTCCCATTTTGTGGACGGTCTTTTCTTTCTTTTTTTTTTTTTTTTCTTTTTTTGGCATCTCAGGGAGTAGAATTACTTATTTTGGGAATCTTTTTGTTTATGGCTAGTTTTATGTTTTGTGTCTCGTTTAAGAAATTATTCCCTATCGTGAGTCTGTAAAGTAATTTAACTTTCTTTTTTTAAGTTTTGGAGCTTTGCCTTATACATTTATATTTTAATCCATTGGGAATTGTATTAACAGTTGGTACAGTAATGGTGTTTAGCAAAAACAACTACCAGGTTCTCAGTAGTGAATAACACAAAGTGCTTATTTTTTATGCATATATAGATTGGCTGGGAGTTGGCTGATCTCATCTGGCCTTGGTTGGGTTGGCTCTGTTTCATATGGCAGATCTGCTAGGACAGTTCTTATCTAATTTTCCTGGGACCAGTGGGCTAGCTAGGGCATGTTCTTCTCATGGTGTTGGCAGAAACTCAAGAGGGCAAAGCCCTGTTTATAGCACATTGACTTGGCTAAAGTAAGTCATGTGGCCAAGCCCAAAGTCAAGGAGAAGGAAACTGTACTCCACCTTTTGTACTTTACATGTGGGAGGAACTGTTAGAATGAATGAAAAAAGAGTATAACTATAACTCTAGGGAGAAAAGAAAAAATAATAGTAATTGACTTTTTAAAAATGGTATCAGAGGCCTCATACCTTTCTTTTTTTTGTTGTTCCCTTTTTCCCATATGGATAACCAATCTCCCAAGTATTATTTAATTAAAAAGCCTGCTTTCCCCCACTAACCGGTAATGCCCCTTTTGGTATATGTCAAGTTTCCATCAAGTGAAGATCTGAAGGTCTGTTTCTGGGATGTCAGTTCTCCATTTGTCTTTTTTTTCTCCAGCATATACTATCTTAATTACTGTAGCAACACTTGTTTCTATCAGTCATTTTGATTATAGCTTTTGCAGTAGGAGTGATGCTGTATCTCACTGTAGTTGTAATTTTCATTTCTCTAATGACTATGAACATCTTTGCATGTGCTTATTGGCCATTAGCCAGTTTAGATCTCTGCCCATTTTAAAATTAGATTGTTTTCGTACTGAGTTTTAGGGTTCTTTACATATATTGCATACAGATCCTTCATTAGATACTTTATTTGCAAATATCCCAATCTGTGGCTTGTCTTATTTTATTAATGTTATCTTTTGAAGCATGAAAGTTTTCATTTTGATATCGTACAGTTTATCAGTTTTTTCTTTTATGGATCGTGCTTTCCATGTTGTATCTCAGAATTCATTGCCTAACACAAAGTCACAAGATTTGCTCTTATGTTTTCTTCTAAAAATATTCTAGTTTTAGCTCTTGTGTTTATGTCTATGATTCATTTTGAGTTAATTTTTAGGAATTGTGTGAGTTAAGGGCAAAATTTTTTTACATGTAGATATCCAGTTGTCCCAGAACTTTTTTTTTTTTTTTTTTTGAGACAGAGTCTCACTCTGTTGCCAGACTGGAGTGCAGTGGCACAGTCTTGGCTCACTGCAGCCTCTGTCTCCCAGGTTCAAGTGATTCTTGTGCCTCAGCATCCTGAGTAGCTGAAATTATAGGCATGCACCACCACGTCTGGCTACTTTTTGTATTTTTAGTAGAGACGGGCTTTCACCACGTTGGCCAGGCTGGTCTTGAACTCCTGACCTCAGGTGATCTGCCCACCTTGAACTTCCAGAGTTCTGGGATTACAAAGGTGAGCCACTGTGCCTGGCCACCAGCACCATTTTTAAAAAAGACTGCCCCTTCCCTCTGACTTGCCTTCATGCCTTTGTCAAAAATCAACTGACTATAAATGTATGGATTTATTTCTGTACTCAGTTGTGTTCCATTGACCTCTATATGTGTGTCCTTATACACTATCACAGTGTCTTGATTACTGTAACTTTGTCCTAAGTTTTGAAATAAGGAAGTGTAAGCTGTCTAGCTTTGTTCTACTTTTCAAAGATTGTTTTGGCTACTCTGGATCTTTTGCTTTTCCATATAAGTTTTAAGATCAGCTTGTAAATTTCTGCAAAAAATCCATGCCGAGATTTTGATAGGGATTGCATTGAATCTGTGGAAAACTGCACATAGAATTCTGATCTATGAGTGTGGAATGTCTCTCCATTTATTTAGATCTTCAGTTTCTCTCAGTTTTGTAATTTTCATTGTACAAGTGTACAGTGTACACTTTTTTGTTAATTTATTCCTACATATTCTGTTTGATGCTATTGAATGGAATTGCCACTTAAACTTTGTTTTTAGATTGTTCACTGGTAGTATGTAGAAACATAATTTATTTTTGTTGTTGATCTTGTTTCCCAAGACTTTGTATTCATTTATTAGCTCTAGTAGGTTTTATTTTGTGTGTGCATGTATTCCTTAGGAATTCCTTAGGAATTTGCATGTAGGATTATGTTATCTGAGAATAAAGATAGTTTCACCTCTTCCTTTTTTTTTTTTTAGTTTTACCTCTTCCTTTTTTTTTTTCTTTTTTTGAGATGAATTCTTGCTCTTGTCCCCCAGGCTGGAGTGCAAATGGCGCGATCTTGGCTCACTGCAACCTCCGCCTCCCAGGTTCAGGTGATTCTCCTGCCTCAGCCTCCCGAGTAGCTGGGATTACAGGCACCTGCCACCATGCCCGGCTAATTTTTGTATTTTTAATAGAGATGGGGTTTCATCATGTTGGCCAGGCTGGTCTCAAACTCCTGACCTCAGGCGATCCACCCGCCTTGGCCTCCCAAAGTGCTGGGAGTACAGGTGTGAGCCACCATGCCCGGCTACCTCTTCCTTTCTAAACTAGATTCTTTTCATTTCTTTTTGTGCCTGATTTTACTGGCTGAAACCTTCTATACAAGGTTAAATAGAAGTGAGAGCAGATAATGTTGCCTTTGTCCTGATATTTGGCAGAAGCATTCAGTCTTTCACCATTACATATGATTTTAGCTGTAGGTTTTTATAGATACTGTAGTTCAAGGAAGTTCTCTCCTATTTCTAGTTTTTTGAGTACTTTTATCATGGATGAATCTTGGGTTTTATCAAATGATTTCTCTGCATCTGTTGAGATGGCCATATAATTTTCCCCTTACTTTATTCACATGATATATTAGTTGTAAAACAAATCTTACATTCCTGAGATAAACCCCACTTGGTCGTGTTGTATATAATTTATTATTGGATTTCATTTGCTAATATTTTATTAAGGATTTTTGCATCTTTTTCATGTTTATGAGGGGTATTCATGCGTCGCTTTCTTTTTGTGTGAAATGTCTTTTTCTGGCTTTCATATCAAGGTAATACTGGCCTCTAGAATGAGTTGAAAGGGTTTCCAGCTTTCGTCTATTTTCTGGGAGAATTCATGAAAAATTGTTATTATTTCTCCTTTAATTCACCAGTACAGATAACTGGGCCTGAGAGCTTCTGTTGTTTTATTTATTATATTTATTTTTGAGATGGAGTCTTGCTCTGTCGCCCAGGCTGAGAGTATAGTGGCAATCTCGGGCCTCACTGCAAACTCCGCCTTCTGGGTTCACCGCCATCTCCCGCCCTCAGCCTCCCCCGAGTAGCTGGGACTACAGGGCCCGCCACTCGCCCAGCAAGTTGTTATATTTTTAGTGAGGACAGGATTTCACCGTTAAGCCAGGATGTCGTCGATCGCCCGGGACCTTTCGTTGATCTGCCTGCTCGCACTCGCCAAAGGCGTGGGGATTGACGGCGTGAGCCATCGACGCCTGGGTTGTTGTGTTTTTTTTTTTTAGATTAGAGAGCATTGTACATAACAGAGTTCAAATTGCGTGTCCGTTGTGATAAGTTGAAGCAGAGTGCGTTTTTTAGAAAAAAAACAGTGTTGGAAGTTTGTATGTGTGTTTCTGATTAGGTTTGCGGTTATGTGTCTAGTGTCGACTGTGTTGTGTAAGTGTTTAGAGTATTATGCGTATTAAACCTTTTGGAATTCTGGGTTCATCAGAAAAGAATGCCTTGTTTTTTGAGGATGCGAGTCTCACTCTGTCTGCCTAGGCTGGAGGGTACCAGTGCACGATCTCAAGCTTACTGCAGACCGGCTAGCCGTCCTGGGGGTCAGAAGTGATTCTCCGCTGCC